GAGGAGTGCATTAGATGATAGTAGAAGCAATAATGAGATTCCAGATACTGAAAAGTGGTTTGAATAAAGATGGGATAGGTTGTACAGGTTTGAAAGGGAAGGTGTCACTTGGAAGTAATTGACCTTGTGGGGCCTCTGTAGTTTCCATAAGGTTCACATAAGCACCCAATATTTAGGAAAGAATGCTGGTAACGTAATACAAATGTACAACTTACACTTCAGATGCTATTTCACATTCTTTCAGCATGTTGTGATTCATAACATGCTGCACCACTTAATGAGCATTTGGTAGTGGAGTGAGCACTAAAATGGTAACTTTTGGGTGCTTATCTGAACTAAACTTTGAACCTTCTGAAGTTCACCCAGAATTACAGTCTTAGTTTTAATCATGTTGCCAGGAGTATTTCAATGGAAAGGCTGAAAATACTCTAGGTTCATCTTTTTCAGGTCTGAATTGTAAGTTACAATTCAAGCTAATTATTTTTATTCTCTGTAATAGCAAATGCTCATCAAGAGGTGCAGCATATTATAGATTAAATGTGCTGAAGTAACAAAATCCTAATTAGCATTTTAAAATTTTATGAACAAAAAATGAAACTCCCAAATTATCATAGTTTAATGTACATTGTGAATGTATTTCCAATCTTATTTTTTTTACTATTATGGGCCAAACTGCTAACTTTTGTTGGAGGCTTTCATTAGGGTTGAAAATATTAAGAACAGCACAGCAATTTGATCTTTTCTCATATTACTGAGTTTTCATTGTGCTGTATTGTTACCATTTATGATGATTATGACATAGGATGCTTAGATGTTACATAGTTTGAAATGCCTATATGTAACTCTGCATGATGCAACAGAAAGAGGCTCCATCATTGATAACGCTTAGGCAAAAAGAAGATAATTTGATTTGCTGTTTTTTTTCTCTAGATTGGTTCAGCTTTGTTTAATTTACTGCAAATACAAGCATCCGAATTCCAAACTGAAGTCATGGAGCCCTAAGATACACCGTTACAGGTTGTCATCTATCTTGTCTTGATCTTGTGAAAGGCCTCAGCTTCAGTTTTATGTTTCCTGGATTTTTAAAACACTTTCACTTGTTTGCTTTTTCAAATCAGTAGTTATTAAATCCACACTTTTGGATACTGACTTTGAGGTCATTGATTAATTTTCAGGTCATGCTTCTTTCTCTTAGTCTCAGTAAATTAGTCACATAAATTTAATGTTGGCAGAAGATATGTTAGCTTCATCCGGTGTCTACCAATGAAGAAGAGGCTACCTGAAAGGGTTACCTTATGTTGGTGGGTGGGGGTGGGTGTGTATGCATGCGTGTGTGCGTGTTAGTGTGGAAAAAAAAGCAGTGTACTTGCTAGTTTTGATTTTAGGCCTGACCTTTCCAGGAGAGTTCCTCTTACATTTTCAAGACAGGCTTATTAAAAACAGTTGCTTAGAGATGTTGCAGATAGGGTGGTGGTAGGAAGGAAAAAGCTCAAATAAATAATAACTATGAAGCGAAGATAGTACTAGGTATAGGGTTGAGAACAGAAAGCTTTCTGCACCTTAGTCAGAATTTCTCTGTTAGCTTTCCAAAATCAGCCGAAGCTAAAGAAGACGTAGCCATAGCAGTATCTGGTATAATTCCATTTTCATTTCATGAAATAACAGCACAGATAGATTTTTCACTTATTTTTAGATATTTTATTTGTTTTTAAATGACTGTTAATGTTATTCTTCATTTCATGTACAGGGTGGTCAAGAATGTACCTCAGCTGCTACTCTTTCTTTAATGCAAAACAGCAGAGGAAAGAAACTTATTTAAGAAGTTTGTCTATATTTAAAAGAATTTAAAAATACTTTAATTTCTTATTTTTAATATAAATTACTTCTATAAATTGATATGTTGTGTTTATTCAATAAATTCTCTGTGTCTTGCATAGTTTTGCATAAGGAAATATTATGTTGAATTGGGGATATTGTATGTCTCTCTTAAACAGAATTCCTTTCTGATTTAAGCAGAGTTTTTTACTCATATCTAGATAGTACGATACAGCCCATAGCAATTTTACATGACTTCCATTTTGTCATGGGGATTTACTGAGGCAAGCTCCTGTTGAAACTAAGATCTGAATAAGGACTACCAGACTACGTCAGTGATAATACCTAGTTTTTTATAGTGCTTTTCATTCTATCTCCCAAAGCAATGTAGTAAAAAGGAATTTTTTTCTCATTTTTTTTGAGTAGAGAGGTGAACTGACATGCTTGGAATCATTGCACAAGCAGTTTAATGTCTGAAATATTTTTGGAGTGCTGTATCCATTAATTGACACAGTTCATCTGATTATTTGTTTTGAATTAAAATGTCTGGGTGATGTTAGTTTAGTTAATTTGGAGGAGTCTAGTACCACAGAGAAGCCTGAGTATGCAGAAAGAATTCTGCTGTAAGGAAATAGTTAAGTATTCTCATCTGTGTATATGTTAGCTTGGCATTTAAATACTTTTAATTATTACTTCCCCTTATGTGTTAATATATAGATTGTATACTTGTGTAGACATATCAGAAGTGAAATTCTGCACATAAACCTTGGAGCACAAACTAAAATTCAGGATTCAAATCACCCTGAAATACAGATGTTTTAAAAATCCAGACTGTTACCCAGATATGATTTTTTACTTCTGTCTGTATTGGAATTGTTAAAAACTTTGTCTCCTAATACAGTCAAATTGTTCTGTTTAATTGGTCCGAACTTCACAAAGTCAGGACAGCGATAAATTTAAACATTTGAACTTGATCAGATGCAAAATAAACACAAGGTCAAAAGTACAGTTGTTACAGCCTGACACTTTTAATTAGGATTTGAAAATGTAAACTACACTTGAAACCTAAGCAAGTTATTCACAATAATTTTGCTCAACAAAAGGAGCAAGTAAATTAAATATGAAAGTAAATAAGACTGAATTATGACAAGACACCTCATACTGTGTCTGAAATGAAGCAATTTTAGTTTTTCATTTTGAAATCCATACTGTTTTGAAGTTTGGATTCATGGTTGATTTAGATGTGAATTTGATTTAGTGCAGAATTTTAGCAGCTGTGAAATTTGCAATCTAGTTAGATTTTTCTATAATCTTTGTGACTCAATAGTCTGTTCTTTTCCAGTTCTATTTGATATTTTAAACCATATGTGTTTATCTTAAGATGTTATCAGCTGTGTGGCAAAAGCAAGTGTATTATTCAGAGATTTAAGTGGATAGATATTTATACTGTTTGCATTTCTTCAGCAAAAAATTCTAATCTGAAAAGTTACACAGTAGCATTGGCTGCCGGTGCAATTTTACAAGCGACAGTATTTCTCCTAAACAGAGGCTCAACAATTTGCTTGAGTTTTCATAGAGCCACCTGCCAAACAGGGCAAAATAGCTTAGGCTTAAGTTCAAAAATCGGATGGAAACTCCAGAAATCATCAGTATTCATTTAACATCATTTCAGACCATTCTAATGTGGTATGTTTTTAATGGATTTTTAAAGAGATACCTTGCTTCTACCAGTCATGAAACAATATATTGTATTAACATTTCTGCAAGAACGGCGCCAGCTGATTTTAAACTTGGAAAATAATTTTGCATTATTCAAGAAAAGCTTGCACTGTTGAAGTATTATTGGAGCTGCTAGTGAGTAATGAGTAAATAACTCTGTTTGTGTATGCAGTATGATGCAAGAAACATGAATCTTAGGTAAAACTTAACTGTTCTTCTTGTTGATGTGTGTAGAAAAGATAGCCTAGGTGCCAGATACTCATTCATTTCCCCAGAGAAACAACGCCCTTTGGAGTAGGGGAAGGGTGCCTACTAACTCTATTTTACTCACACTGTCTTTTTTCTTTTTACTCTTTATACCAAGGCTCAGCCATAGGATCTCTACAAGGATTGTTTGTAGGATATGATTTCAAGCAGCAGTTAAATAAAATTAAATGGTAATGACTATCATAAGATAATTTTAAAGATCTGAATATCTTTCAAATTTTAAATAATACCTAAAAGCAGAAAATATCTGTAAGCAGGTTGTGAACTCTTGCACAGGTCTCAAAGTAATACGAAAAGATTATCGTGTAAGTCATTTACTGTAAAGGCAAACCACTTCTGATTCCATTCTGCATACATAGCCAAAGCCAAGGGCAACTGAAGCAACTATGAAGATTTCCAATGTTCGGCCAGCATTGGACCATGACCACAATATGAATTTCAACATTTAGGTTGTTTTAGCAATGAATCTCCAATGTCAACAAAACTGGATTAATTTAAATTTAAATGTGCAAAACCAAATAAGAAAATATGGGAGGAAAAAAGATTGTTTGAAAACCTATGTTTAACATTGACAACATAGGGAAATAGGATAGGCTGAACTGTTTATGAAATATCAGCCACAAATCTAAAAAGCCTAAAGAAATGTTTTAATACAGAGCTTAGTTAGTACTAAATATATATGCACTTTTTTAGCAAGTGTCACAGAAAAGGAGGGCAAATAGTCTGAACTTGAAAGCTTTGGTCTTAAATAAAGGGAACAAAAATACTTGTTTCTTATTTCAAAATTAATAATATCCCTTTCCCATGAAATTTTGAGGCAGTTAAAGATTGTAATGGAGATAGTACAGCGTGTCAGAAGACTAATTTTACAGCAGCACTGAAATACAGTAAACCTAGTACTAGCAATAACTAAGATAAAAACAACTATAAAACATTACTTGCATGGCAGGTATGAAAAATACATTCTTGTAGTCTACAATTTGATGCTTCCAGAATTTTTTTTGCCGAATATTCTTGGGTAAAATACGGTGGATTTGAAATTACTCCAGAATATTTCACAACTACCTATAGATTTTTCTCTCCAGCCCACTTTGTAATAGTCTGTGTTCAGGACAAATTGTTGTATACATGTAGGTATGAGCACTGAAGGCAATTTTAGGCTTTTATTCTGATCAACTTGCTTCTGCCTTCTTTCCTAGGAAGTGTGTAGAGAGCTCTGGTGCCTCAGCAAAAGCAACCGCTGTGTTACCAACAGCATTCCAGCAGCTGAAGGTACTCTTTGCCAAACAGGGAGCATTGAAAAGGGGGTGAGTAAAAATAATTTATTGTTTGAAGAAGTAATTTAGACTATAGGGAGAAAGAACTAGAAAATGGAAGTATTTGTGAGCAACTGTTACTCTTTCAGAATACATTTGCATCCTAATGGAAATGTCCTGCAGAACAATTTTACCATTATTTCATGTATGTAATTTATTAAGACATTTAACCCCCCTATAAAATTCCATAGTCTGGATCAAAAACCCTCACCCTTTTACATACTTTCTCTATATTTTGGAAGTGATTTCTGTAAAAACTATTTAGTTTAATCTTTATTAATTTTTATATTGCTCTTTCATAAAGGACTGTTTCAACTCTAGGTCTGACTTGGACTTTGAAAATGGTTAACACAGATCTAGAGCCTGAACTCTATCATTTTGTTAGAAGTTAAAAACCCCCACTTTATTACTTCAGATACAAGCTGAATCATACAACCATTTAAGAAAAAAATGTTACCTTAATAAAAAGGTTTTCTAACCCCCCATACTTCCTAGTGACCTTTCTGTTTGACTTCAAATTATTCTTTTCATGTTCAGTCATACCTGAATAACTGTTTAGCTTTAAGGGCCTTTGCTGTGCAGTCTGATAAAGTCTTCTATCTACTAGGAAATTACAGAAAGTCAATGTTGCAATAGATAAGTTGAGTGCTACTTTATCTGTCTTAACATGTGAATTTTGATTTTAAAACAATGTCTTTATATCAATAGTTTGTGACAAAGTTCTGGAACTTAGTTTTAGATTAATAAAAGTAAAAGAGTGTTTCTCAAGGCAAAATCTATACAAATGTTAAACAGGAAAGAAAAAAAAATTATTAACTTACAGAACATGTACTGGGGAAAAAAGTTAATTGTATATGCCTTTTTTCAAGATAATACATCTTATACAGGTTTGTATGAAGAAAGCTTATTATATTAAACAATTTTTGATACCTGTCCGGGAGCTGCTGCATCTGACCCTAAGATTTATTTCTCCAGATCAGATTTTTTCACTAATAACGACTACTGACATCTATTCTTATTCTGATGTTTGCCATGCTAGCTAGGCTACTTTCAACAAAGATTACAGTGCATTTTGACTTGCAATCTGATGTTTAAACAAAAAGAGTGAAAGCTTTTGGGCAACTGTCACAGTTTATTAATTCTTGTTGATGGCTTCATTCAGGGCCCATGACCTGGCATCATTCTGATGGCTTTTCCAAGCTGAGTTTGGGAATATTGGTAAACCTTGTTAAACAAATAAGGGGTCATTTTATAAAATGGAGTGGTTAGAGTTAGCCAATGAAAATAAGAGACAACTTTGCATTCTACCAAAAATGTTACCTTTTATTAGCTTAATAGAAAATGTTAGAAGCATTACTCCTAAATCAACAGTCTGCGTTTATTTTGGAACCACCACTCCTTGTCAATGACAAGGAGCAATTTACCTCCATTTATTTTTTTTTTTTAAACCATGAGACTACAAAGAACAAGTCAAGATGCTCTAAGACACTGTTGCTGTGTCTACTTGCCAGAGGCTTTAATCAGTTTGCTCTCTACAAAACATCTTTTCTCAGTCATCAGTATCTTGTTCCATCATGATATTTGAGGGAAATGAGAGAATCTGTACAGTTTTACAAAGGTAAACTGCTCATGCCCGTCAACAGCAGAGAATTGTTTCTGTAAACTCCAGCTTAAAAGGTTCCTGTAAATTCATAGTTCCTGATAGCAAAAAACCCCAGAAAACACAAGCTTTTTTCAAATATGTAGTTTTCTTTACCACATGCTAAGGAGAAAATAATAGGTTACAATTCTAGAACACTTTTTTGTTTTTATTATTGTAATCATTATTATTATTATTATAACATTTACATTGCAGTCTCACCTAAAGGCCACAACCAGATTAGGTCCTGTTTTCTGGGTTCTGTCCAAATATATAATAAATTATGTTCCCTGCTCTAAAGGCCTAACAAAATCTTGGAGTACTTCATCATATTTGGATGGTCGATTTCTGCTCTTAGTTACACTAATGTAAATTCGCTGTAACTGTTGACTGAAAGCAAAATTTGATGCAGTGTGCATTAAGATCTTATTGGCAGAGTTGGAAGGGATTCCTACAATTAAAATGGCCTAACATTCTGTTATAAAACCTTCTTTCAGTTGCTTGTATAACCCTGCCAAACTTTTAACTCTTTGTGTTGGAATTTTCTGTAGATGTCTGTCTGCTTGAAGGTTTTTTAGAGTGTTTTCCGTAAAAGTTACTCAGCTGTTTTCTGCATACGGGGAAAGAGAATAGTGTGGTTTCTTGCTACTAGTGGAACTTGTACATCTGTTCTGTTTTGAAGCTTTAATGTGTTCATGCTTTGGTGAAGGGTTTTATATGTTGGCTGGGTTTAAAAGGTACACTTTTTCCTAATTTGCAGTAATAAGTTTAAATATCCTTGATGTTTCTCTCTGGTATACCCAGAAATGTGTTTGTGAAGGTTAACAGACAAATTTTTTTAGAAGACTAGTGAGGAAATGTTGCATAAAAACCAGTAAGACAGAACAGCTGAGAATGTTTATTTTTTCTTTGAATTTAAGCAATTAAAAAAGTAACCTTCTCTAACATCATTGTTTAGGTCCATGCTAGGGATGTAAATCAGGAGCAAATGTGCAAAACATAAGAACACAGTGTGCTGAAAGGATAGTTTAAATAGCTAGATTGTTGAATGATACTAAGATAGTGTAAATTTAAGTTATTATTGTACATTACGTTTACTTGAAAAATAATTATAGAAGCAATGATTGGAAATACATTGAGATGACAGATTTAAATTCAATTAATCTTTTTTTTTTTCTGCTATGAAAGACGGAATCTTTTTTCAATATTATAGTACTTGCTGTATGTTTTCTGAAAGCACACTATTGTAAATCTTGGTTCAGTTAAACAGCTAATATTAATGCAAAATGATCTCAAATGTTCCACAATATCATGTTTTATTTTATTGCTAATGATATCTATAAGAAAAATTTCAGACTGCTTACATTATTCAGAGTTTAGGGTTTTTTTGGTACATACTGAAATGCATGGCCACTCTTTCTAGTTGTACTAACTGAAAATTAATTACTCAATATTAGAGAAGAATTAACATTTCAGTTCTAAAACTTTCATAGAGGATTGTTCTTTTAAAATAGCTGTCATCTCTTGTTTCTTCATGTACTGGTTACTCAATAGCCTTTAGCTCATTATAGCGGATCAGGTTGCTATAATTTGTGGAGGAAGCATATTTCTGTAGTCCCATTAGAAATAATGAAGATTTTGGTCATTTTGAATTACTCTGACAGAGGTTCTATGCATCACTGGCTTCTGGTGAAAGATAAATTTTCACTAGAGACTGAAGAAGAGACACTGAAGGAAACAGTAAGGTCTCAGATTTAATTTCAGCAGAGGAGAAAAGCCCCAGCATTGAAGGAGTTTTTACAGGACTATGGGAATGTGGAAGACAATGCTTGCATGACAGAAGAAATTACAGAGTACAGGGATATTACACAGCTTTGGAAAAATAAAGCAGGTAAAACGCACCTGCCTATTTTATACAGTCATAATAGGATAGAACTAGGATGGGTTGCATGTTCTTTTTTACATATGTGATATCCTTATGGGTTAAAGTTTAACTCTTTATTTTATTAACCTTGATGTTGATGTCTGTAATATAAATAACGCATTTTTAATTAATTTATTAGCATGAATTTTTACTCTGGGAAGCATTTTTGTTTTTAGCTTTTGACTTCAGCATTAGGTAACTGTTAATGTGCTGGTGTGGCATCTTTAATAGAAAGCTGCAAGGAGATTATTGTCTTTAGATAATAAAATCATCATCCCTTAATTTATCACTATAACCAGAAGAAAACTAGAAGATTTTAGCACTTGATCTATAATTCACCTAAAAGCTTCATTTGCCATCATACTAGTACCAGGAGAGGCATTGCAAAATGCTGCATATATCTATACTAGATAAAATATGTGTTCGCTATACGGATTGCATTATGTGTTATGCAGGCATAACTGTAGCTTGCGTTCATATGCAAAACTTGCATCTAGGTGCATTTGCTTGGTGATAAGCTACACATTTTAATATTTAATTTTAATGTACATTCTCGAGAGCTACACCCTTAGACTCTGAAATGTTTGAACTTCTATTCAGAATGAAATTCTTACTCATTCTTCATAGAGAAATCTGGACTAATTCAGGTCATTGTGAATGGCTATGTTTACTTGTTTACATATTTTCCCACCTTGCTGGAACCGAGGCTTTAAGTGATCCTTAGGATTCAGGAGTATAAAGTCAACACCAAGTCTTCCAGTGGTACTTATGGATGGGCGGGGACATGTCTGATATGTCCGTGTCTTCTGTGCCTGTCTCCGTGCTTTTTGTCAAATTCATGTGGTTGATTTTGGACACAGAAGTGGTCTGCGTTTCTTCTGGGAAATGTCAATACTGTGTCTGGTGTGGGAATTCAAGGAAGTTAAACAGCAGATGCCTGCCTTTGGAAGTGAACTGTACATATTTAGGTCACAGTAGACCTGAGACCATGCTGTACTCTGTCACCTAAGCCTGTAATAGTGGGAAGGGGTTACCTAACCAAGCTGCTTCAGGTTCTCAGTGATGCAGATCAAACTATGGGCTGCAGGATTGTTTCTGAATGGTTTTAAAAAGATTTCTGGCTAAGGAAATGATCTAACTATTTTAACAATTAGCCATTATTTGCAAATTGTCTGTTATTTTATATGTCTCCTCTAAGTAACAGTATTGCAAAGTTTAAGTGTTTGCATGAGTTCCTATGTTCATTCTGTCCCTGAACAAGTGGCCAGTCACTATTATACAGTGATTTTCTGTACCATGTCTCATGCTTTGGCACTGCTTTTATTATGTCTGTGGGGTTAGTATAAATTATGTACTGCAACAAATTCTTCTTCTATTGTAACCTTGTCCAGATTTTGTTTTTTAAAATGTAAAGGAATACTTTCTTAAAATTACAGTTGGGAGGAATTTTTCATTTTGTGTTATGAAGCCCAACATGAATCCTAAGTAAAGGATGTCTTACTAAACTAAGCTTAGAAACGAATCTTAGTGTTTAAAAGAATGTAAGCAACTTGCGTTTTCTTTAATGTGAAACACTAAGGAGGCTGTATGAAGAACAAAGAAAATCTTTATTCTAAGCTTTTTCTAACTTCTGGTGTGTGTTAGGGACGTATAATTCAGGGCTTAGTGAAGACAACAAATCACACACCCCCTCACCAATGTCTAAACATGGCTAGAAAAAGTAAAATATTAGTCTTGTTATCTATACAGAGAATGTTAATGCCTATAATTGGTCGTTGCCTGACCCTTATATTTTTCTGTCCGGATAACCCTTGTCAGCCTGGAAGCTAATTTTGTGGTTTTTTTGTGAAATCTTTCAGTGGTGTTATCAGGGAGAGTGCGTACCTTTTGGCACTTGGCCGCAGAGCATAGATGGGGATTGGGGTCCATGGTCAATATGGGGAGAGTGCAGCAGGACCTGCGGGGGAGGAGTCTCCTCATCTATAAGACACTGTGACAGTCCAGCGTAAGTAGCTAAAGTAAGCCGGAGCCAGCAAAAAGACACATTTGGAAATTATTCAGAGCTGTGGTTTCATGTGTTATCTGTAAAAATGTTTTGCCAATTTGCCAACATTTGTCTTCAAAATAGCAGACAGAAACACTTAAACAGAAGTTCACTAGACATACTTTTAACATTTTTAATGTATATTACGTACTGTAAAGACAACTGGATTTATATTAAGCAGTAACCAGGATGGTTTTCTTTCTGCAACATGATGTTTATGAAAAATATATTAAATTATGCCTTAGATAGATTACTTTCATAAGACCCACTACCTCTAATGCTGGTCTAGGATATAAAATAATTAATGACAGTTAATTATTAAAAAACCAACACAGTATGTCCAAGGTTTTGCATACAACTACTTACATATAGACCATAGTTAGTAATGTCGTGTTGCATACAGTACATTTATATGCAGTCATGCCCAGTGCTTAGTTGTGACTTCCCACTGAGTCTTAAAGCAATTCAGCAGCGTCTCTCCTTGCCCACTACTCCTTGTTGTCCATTTATGCTCTCAAGAGGGGCCAGCTTCTCCCACTACAGCTTGATCTGGTGTGTGTATCTTTACTGGTCGTGTCATGCTTTCCAATGTCCTGAGCACTGTTCCAGAGATGGTCAGTCAGGTAAGTGCTCCTCTCTCTGTCACTAGTGCTTCTCAGGTGAGGAATGCCTCCAGTGCTTCTCAGGTGAGAAATGCCTCCTTATTTCCATTGTCGTTATTTGCTGAATGAGTCACAGCTTTTCTTCTGTTGCTGCTTGCCATGTTATGGCTACCTCATCACAGCTATAGGTCTTTGCAGGATAGTTTCATTTCTCCATACTTTGTTCTTGTCATGTCCCTTAATCGTTGCTTCCATCACCATTATCACTTTTTAAGACCACATTTTCTTGAAAATGTTAAACTTTTGTGCTTCTTTCATGAAAATCCACTTTGTGGCTTTTGTCACTACTTTCCTATCTTCTCTTTTGCTCTTTGATGCTTATACCCATGTTTTTCAAGCCAGACTGTACATCAGCTTTCCACTGCACTCTGCGAGACAGACACCGTAATGTTGCATTACTGCTGCTTAAGGTGGTCTTTTTGCCTCCTGTCATTAGCCATAGCTATCAAATCTGACAGATAGCGCTACTTAGAGAATCGATTCAAAAGCAAAATTTTTCCATATGCTTCAATAACATGTTAGACTATGTTACTGAGAGAATAATTAATTTAAAACATCTTTTTTTCATGGCAGCATGTAAAAATGCTAGCGAATTGTTCATTTGGAGCATGAGTATTTTCCTAAGATTATTTTAACTACTTCTGTCACCACTTATATGGACTGGTGTGTTGAAAGGTGATTACATTTTAAGTGTTTAACACTACAGCAAGCAAATGTGTTTTGGCGGGGGGGCTTGTCTGCATTGGGAAAAAAATTCAAGGATAGTGTTACTGGGTTAAATATATGTAAAGTGAAAAATAGTATTGATTTTCCTTTAGTCAATTTTAATTTATTTTATTTCTTTCTTATAAAACAGGTGCCAAACGTTTTTCCTTTCTGCTTTCAAATTATGAGCCAGAGAGCTGATATCTGATTAATCTTCTGTTTAAGTTAATGTTGATTCATTATTGGACCTTTGTGGATGATAGATAAGGTTCCTGAACAGTTTGGGAGTTAAGAGCCAATGTCTTGTTCACACTAATAGAAACCTGCTTACTCTGGAGTTTCCTCAGATTTAATTCAAAACATAATCAGATTCTCAAACTAGAAAACAAAGCTTCTGCTGGCTCCAGCACTTAGCAGGCAGTGTTCATTTTTTTTAATTGTATTTTCAAGTGTAGCACGAGAAGCCTTTTTTTAAAAAAAAAGGTATCATACAGGTTGTTTACACATTTGTCATTCTAATTTTACAAAGCAAGCACATAATTAAAACTAATGCCTTTTTAGTATGTTCAAAATACAGTTAAACTGTATTGCTTGAGATCTATGCAAACTTCCTGAGTTTTATGTGAGTGACAATTTTCAAGTATTCAGTATTGTTTTGTATCAGCTCCAATTCAAGTCACTGCTACACTTCTTATTAAATAAAATATTTCAAAATTTCACCTTAAAACTTCCATATACTTTTGGTTTTATTTATGTAATTTATATCTCGGACTATTTATACAAATAATGCATTACTGTATCTCACTTGTGTTTATACTAATACATATACTAACACATAAAACATTTTTGCAGGCCTTCAGGTGGGGGCAAATACTGTCTTGGAGAAAGAAAGCGGTATCGCTCATGTAATACTGATGTAAGTAAATTTTATTTCACTATGTAAGTGTAATCAACTTGTCTGGTTTATGTTTTAGCAGCAAAGGATGCATTTCTTCCTCAGTTCAGAAAAGCTGTGAGTTCTGCACTTTGTTGGCAAACAGTTTTGTAGAGCATTTCTGTAATGCAGGCATCCTATATGTTCTGCTAAGTGTTAGGATCCCCATCTCAATGTGATGCCTAGCTGGTGACTTCCCTCTAAGACCCTGAGTGCCAAAAGCATGACTTTTCTGTGAATATACCGTATGAGTTACCAGAGCTGGATGGCTAGAGATTTCTTGAACTCCACATCGTATCTGTACCATATTAACTGCCACAAATGAAAGTATCCTCCATGGATTCACTTTTAAACTCTCTTCTTCTGTGTATACCTTTATAACTTTCAGTGCTATTGTGTTACATAATTCTCTTACACACTCTGTGAAAATGGGATGATTTTTTGATGTGTTTGCCATCAGGTATGCGCTGGTTCTTTTGTTACCAGGGTGATCATGCAGTTTTATTTTGGAGCTGAGCCCATCACATAATGAACTACCACTGAGTGAATGAGGCAAAGTACAAACGTATAAAATCGAATTATGAAACTAAATTACAAATTCAAGTAAGTTAAAAATTGAAACATGAAGAGGTATGCACTAGTAAAGAATTTCACTACTAAGTTTCCAAGTCAGTAGCACTACAAACATAAACAGGCTTTTATATTATTTTAGCTTCAAATTCATCTCAGTTCTTCTTAAATTAAGAAAGTTCTTGACAGTGTGGAGAGTCTGTACCTAAAGGTGTCATTTTACCTCTTTATCTTTTGATATATTTAAGGAAAAAACACAGTGTTATTTTTTTCTGTAAACATGTATCTTTGCCTTTGGCTGTCTTTGTGCAATTTTCAGTTGAATGGATTTATCTTGTCAGATGATCCCCTGTAATGAATTTACCCTCCTCATGTGTTCATTCAGATAGCCTTGTTGTAATTAGAAGACTTTAGAAGCAAGAAATTTTTTTCATAGTTCCAAGTCACAAATGAAAATGTTGAGTAACGCTGAGTGAGGTTTTTATTGTATAGTTGGTAGGAAGTTCATCCACAAATTCACTAGCTAAGTGATGATTCCTTATGGAAATCTGTCTATTGAAATCTCTCAGTCAATATTTAATAAGTTAATATATGGTTTACTGAACTAGTTCAGGTTTGTTTCTGTTTTTTTCAGTCAGGATGTTGTGCAGTACAAACTTAAGTGCCTTATCAAAATATAACCATATTCCATTATCCTTTGAATTTAACTAAGAATTATAAAAAGTTTTACTTGGTAAAACCTGTTCTCATACAAAATGTGAATTGTTTTGTTATTCATCTTCCTTTTAAACCTGTAGCAGTCAGGTCTCTGCCAACTTTTCTGCTTTACATGGGATTGATGTCAGGAAAACTGTAACCTAGAATAATCAAGTTGTCCTTTTCAAATAATGACCTTTTTTACATTAGCACTGTTTCAGTTTGTACACACTCTGTGAGACTGTTAAAAAATTCAATTCAGTACACTGGAGCTCTCCTTTCTTAACTTTTTGAAGACTCTTTTAAGGTAATTATCCAGGCATTTTTTTAAAAATCTTTACCTCCAATCAGTATTATTTAGCACCTGCCACAGTGACTAGTACACAGGAAAGTCTACATAATATGTAATACTACTCCCTCACAAGTATACAACAATTTTTAATGCTATTTTATGGTTAACAACTGCGCTATAACTACCTAGTGACACTGTTGAAATGTTGCCAAGATTTGTTTTATTCCTATCGTATTTTATTTTTTATTGTCAGACACTTTCTGAACAGTTTTATTCTTACTTGATTTTGCTTCCCTTATTCTCTCTTTGTTTGTTTATGACTGAGAGGAAGCTTATGGGGTCACAAAAGATCCAGAAGGCTTCTGAGAAGGCCATTGAGGCTATTTCCTGGCTCAAAGGGAAATTCGACTGTTATTGAACCATTCTTAACTGATCATTAAACAGCTGACCTCTCTTGAAACACCATCAGTCTGGGAGATATCATTAAGATTCTTCAATATCCTTACAGTCAGGACAGGTTGCATAAAAATACAGTGTATGATTTCCCATCCCTTAAGACCCTTATTTACTCTTT